CTTCTTCTTCTTCTTCTTCTTCTTCTTCTTCTTCTTCTTCTTCTTCTTCTTCTTCTCCACCTCCTCCTCCTCCTCCTCCTCCTCCTCCTCTAACAAATCTGTCTGTTGAAAATTCATCATTCAGTAGATATATCCATGGTGTTTTGAATTGTTATAGATCTTTGGCAGCTCTTTTTCCCCCAAGATTTTTGTATTTCAGTAATGTTAAGCATGAAGAAGATACAGAGCATGTGGCCAAATATTCAACACTCAATCCTAAATTTTGACATTCCAGCATTTTTTTTAAAAAAAGGCTTCAAAGCACAATACTGTATTGAGGATGAAACTAGACATCCAATTGGTAAAAAGCCAATTCCACACAGAAAAAACAGAATTAAAAAAGGGAGGGCTTCTGAATCCTTCCCCCTCTGCCACTTTCCACCCTTCCTTTTTTGGATCTACTTTCCACATCTTCTGAACGTGGCTCTAGAAAACCAATGAGAAGAAAAGTACCTGCAGAGGTGGGGTCAAGGGGTTTCTTCAGGGAAACCATGAATAGAGAAATAATGAAGCAGCATACCCTGCTTTCTGCCTCTATTAATTCTCCTCCCCCCCGCCCCACACACAAAGCCACTTCGTAGCTTGTTAGTCTGAAAGCAGGACCTGTTGCATTTCAAATTTTTGTGCATGGCTTATGTCACAACAGATGCTACCACCTGGTTGACTTGGCTCATCTTGAAAAAGCTAACCTGGATTGAACCTGGCTACTTTTTGGATATAAGACCACCAGGAATTCACAGAGAGGTAGCCTGATTGCAAAGACATATTATAGAAAAAGGCGACAGCAAGCCACTTCTCTACTATCGTCAACAAAATTGCATGAATGTGTCTATAGAACCACCAGAAATTTTGGTCCACTCAAGGGAGATTTTCCTTTCTTTTACAGGTCCTACATTTGAGATACTTTAACAATAATATAATAATTACATTCTTTGGAATCTTGGGTAACTAGACCCAAATTTGAAGACCTGCCAAATGTGGTATGCATCCTGTTTTTCTAAAGCCATTCTCTGCAATCCGTTACTTACTTGGGAGTAAGTCCAATTTAACCAAGTGGGAGTTGTTTCCAGGGAAACACACAGAAAATTGGCTTGTAAGGGATTGCTTTTTAAGGGAACTTTTTGAGCATGGATACCTGCAAATTTGTATGCTGTTCTTCTGTTACATTTTTTGAAGCATCTTCTTTACAAACGCACACAATCAAGGGTCCCAGTCCAGACTGCATTGCCACTCACTTTAGAACACAGTGGAGTGACAACAGAACTTCAAGACTGCTCAGATGGGATAGGAAAAAGTGTGTGTATCTGTGCATATGAATCCAGTTTCTTTTATCTGTTATTCCCACAACCTGCAAATGCAAACTAGGAAACACTGGTATAAATTTCCAGCTCCCTCTGCAATCCTCCCCCACAAACGTAGTCTAAATTAATCCATAAATAATATGGACACTGTCCTGCGTTAGTTCTTAGCAAAGAATTTACAAGCCTGTTAGGAATTTCGGGCACTTGGACATGCTCAAAGAAGAAAAAAGTCAACTCTGCTCTGGTCAATCAGAGCGAAAGAGAAGTCTAAGCAGAGGGAGAGAAGGGTTGAGAGAGTGAGTTCTGGTTGTCTGAAGGCAGTTTTTGACTCAGCAAAACTATATATACAATGTGCTTCACAACAGGTGGCATTACCAAATGGATCCTGAAAAAGCTAGCCAGGGTCAGATCTGGTTAGTATCAGGATGGGAGACTACCAGGTTATTGAACAGACAGGGAAGTTGAAAAGTATTCTAAAAGAAGGCAATGGCAAACTAATTCCATATTATTGCCAAGAAAACTACATAGACATATATCTGTAGTCACTAGTAAAATTCAGGAGAAATTTTATCTTCCCCTTGACTATGGCTCCCTCCTTCCAAGAAGTCAAAACTCCCAGACGCCCCCCCCCCCCACTTTTGGGGCATTTTTTTCCTACATAGTGTACAGTATGTAGAAGGAAATAATTCATACCTACATTCTTCAGAATATACTCTCAAACCTGGACAAAACTTGGGGGACATATTTCTGTGGATTTCATGACTTTCCTGTCTCATCTAATAAATCTTTCTTGAAAAAAATTCTTGGCCAACATTCTTGTGTTCCAGCAAGAGTTGAGACCTCGGTTTCTTTTCTATTTTCTTAACTTCTATTGCTGCTTACTCAAGAATGAGCCCATATGAACTGACCTTGAATATTCCTAGCCTCCATACCTAAATCTATGTGTATACCATGTCCACAATACAGCTTGAAAGGCCAACATAGAAAGGACATTAGCCACACAGACATTCTCCTGAAATAGCCCTGTTACAATGGGCAAATCATGTCCCACAAACCAGGTCTCCATTCTTCCTCAGTTGCAACAGTGAGACAGATGCTGCCTATCCCCAAAAATGAAAGGCAATGAACAGAAGGAATGCTTTTGCATCAGAAGGCTTTAGATTCACCGATGTCCCCTTTTTACCATGCAAAGAGCTAGCAAGATGAAAAAGAGGATTTGAACTTTAGATCAGACTTTCCAAAGCAAAGAGGGGGAAGGACATACCGAAGCATGGATCCGACAATATTACAAAATTAGACCAACTTATGGGTGGGGTGGGGAGGATTTTCAACAAGCATGAGCTATGATGCCTAAGTGGAACCTCCCTGCTTGGTGCAGTGTACTTCTGGATGCTAAGAACAGACAAGCCATGTGGACAGATGCAGCCCTCATGCTCTGCTTGTGGGCTTCCTGGAAGTATTTAGTTGGCCACTGCTGAACACAGGAGTGGCCAACCAGATACTAGCCGGATCATTGTTGGAATGATCCAACAGATTTCAGAACTCAAACTAGACTAGAGAGATCATGGAGACAAGTTGATCTACTCAAAAAGCAGAAGGCATCAGCCTCACACTGCAGCCTACAAGATGCACCTTTGTGATGTCGGAAAAGATGTTTGGTCACTATGTTGCTCTTAGGGCAACGGTTCAAGGAATCTTTGGATGCACCTCTCAAGTTGTGTAACACAGCCTATAAAAGGGATCCAGGCAGGCATCTACTGCAGGTGCCATAGGGCATGATCACACTGCCTACCTAGGCCACTTTTTCAGGGAGCTCAGAAGATCAGGGCATACCAAACGAACTCTCCCCACTGAGATCTTTAGCTAACTTTCTAGGAGAATTCCTTTCCATCATACCTAGTCCAAAACCCATCCAGCAGATCTTCCCAATATAGTAAGGTGTTGTGTGTGTGGATTTAAAAAAAAAATTACTGTTTTTAAGAAAGGATTTTCAGAACACATCACCCAGCATTCTGTCTGGAGTGCTGACCATTCCAAGGAAAGCAGGTTGGGCACAGAGGAGAGAAAAGGAATAATATCCCTTAGGGACACTTGTATAGAAAAATCTCAAGGTTTATTACATCAGTATCTCCAGCTACTTCCTAAATCTAAGGAACTGATTTGTCCCAAGACAACAGACAAGTTACAAGGAGTCACAATATTCAGCAGGAGAGTGGAGTTCCCAAGCAAGGGGAATGTCCTTAAGAGTGGGGACAGTACGGCAAAAAAACCCATGGAAGGAGGCAAAATCCAAGAGGCAGAGCGGGGTTGGCACAAGAGGCACAAGTTGACTCTCTGGATCCTGTGCCCCCAACGTTTGTCTTTGACCCTGAAATGGGGTATTGTTTCTGTGTTCCTACATGGAGAGTGGTGAAGAATTCAGGCTGTCACTTCGACTGACCCACATACCTTGCGTGCGTGAGCCCTGCAGGTGGGGCTTCTCACTAGTGAATGAGACCCCCGCAACTCCACTCTACAGTAAAAGGAGCCAAGAAAGTGCTGGGGTTCAAAACGAACCCTCCAACTGGGTCTGCAGGTTCTGTGTCTGCTTCAGAAACCCGCCACAGCCTCAGAGGGGCTCGGATTCTCTTTCAGAACCTGCTTGCAGGACCCAGAGTTGAGTGTAGCCTTTGGAAACGCTTCTAGGGATCCATGTCAGCTCTGCTCATCCTTCTAGAGCACTCTGGATCTGTGTCTTCATCTTCCCCCACCTTCCCCCACCTCTGCCCTTCCTTCCAAATCATCCTGATTCACACAGCAGATGTCTTGTCTTTTTATTTTTGAAAATGCAGTGTTAGCGCCTCTCTCGGGAGCAGCATCTCCACCCCTTTGATCTGGAGACCCCAGAGATGGCAGGGAAAGGGGGCTCTGAAGAAATCCCCCTTGCTCTCGGCGGCCAATGATAACCTAGAGCAGCTGGTCCTCCGCCCCTTCCCTCCTGCAAGAAGGTCTGGAGAGGTTTTGCCTAGAGTGGGGTGGGAAGGAGAGCCCCGGGCTTCCCGGGGTCTCCAGAGCTGGAGCTGGCGTGGAGGCGACGAGAGGGCTCCGCAGCCAGGGGGCAGACCGGCCGAGCCCCGCTTTCAGGAGGAAAGCACCTCAGCAGCGGCTGGCCAGAGCTGAAGCCGGCGCAGCCCGCCCGAGGTGCCTCTCTTACCTCCTTGCCACGAAGCCCGGGGGCCGGAAAGGCGGAGGACGGGGGCCCCAGGGG